ATCTGTATTTGTCTCAAACTTTGTGATGTTTTGTGATGAAACATGGAATTGGACTTGAAAAATATAAAGAAAAGTCATTCTGAAATTACACCTTTATTTTCTACAGTTAAACTTAACTGCAAGAATAGTCATCTTTTAAACTATAATGTAACAGTCAGTTAAAAGTGCCAAATCAGCAGTAAATCTATTTTTCCTCACACTGAGAATATTTAATCTGTGATTAAGTAAATTTAACATCACTGAATCTGTGAAATACTCAATCAAATTTCAAGTTAGCATCTTCACACAAATGTATGTAGTAATGAGGTCAAAAATATTTTTTTCAAAATACAAGACATTGTAATTTTTCTCAGAAAATAAATTGTTTAAGCACTAGGGTTAGTTCAAACCTCCACACAACAAAAAACAAAAAATACAAAACAATCTTTACTGCATTTCATTCGGTATTTCAAAACGCCAAATATTAAATTAGTCTAAACCAGTGCTTCTCAATTATTTTCCGTTACGCCCCCCCTAGCAAGAAGTAAACTATTCGCGCCCCCACTCCCACCGTGACTATCCATTTCTACATAACATTTTTTCCTTATTAACATTTTTTTTCGCTGAAAAAACTCTAGCGGCTTATCGGCGTGATTGGGATGTAACGTATTTAAGTGACGCGCTAATTTATTTGGCTTCATGCTGTCCGCTGCGAGCATTTTTAGACACAGCAAACACAGCGGTCTTTCCTCTTCTCCAACTGTAGTCACAGTGAAGCCAAGCGCTAAATACGCTTCGTCGTATTTCCTCTTCTTAGCTTTCGGTTGACTTTCTGTTGTCTCATTATCTTTGTCTCTCTCCGCTTTTCTTTTCATCCCTGTGAAAAACTTTTTCATGTTGGGGGTTGTTGAATAACGGAGGCCATAGACAGAACGCAGTCGGAGCTTTTTGTTGACTTAACACTGCTAACCAAGGCAAACCTGTTGTCTTGTAAGTCGTAAAATGTTGCACTGTCGCAAACGTGACAGAAGTAACAATGAGAGCGCCACTGCCGCCTACTGTGCGCAATTACACTTTATACTAGTTCGGCCAAAAAAATGCCTGTTCCCCAGGATCACACGCCCCCCCAGGTATCGCACCGCGCCCCCCAAAGGGGGCCCGCCCCACTATTTGAGAAGCACTGGGCTAAAGTCATCAGAGTTCCAGAGCAGCAATGGACCAGCAGTGATTTAAAGTACACTGATAAAAATACTCTGCTCTACTTAAAAAATTAAGTTAAATTGATGAAATGCTTAGGGGTTGTTAATGTATGTAAAACAATGCTGATGTGGGCAGAAAAAGTCAATTTGAGAATAACACTTAAGTTTCAGAATATTGTTTACCATGGAAACGTCTAAAGACCACAGATCTTACAACTTACCTAATTAAATCACATAACTTCACTTGTTTGCCATATAAAAACCTTTTCTTTTAGGACATTGGCTTGTGTGTGACAGCAGGGATTGACCAGCAGCAACTAATTCAAGCACTTTTTTATTGGTCACAAAAATGAGATTTAAGATGTTGAGACTCCAGAGCTTTGTCAATGCAATCAGGTCCTCAAGAATCAAATCAATCAATCAATCAAATTTTATTTGTATAGCACATTTCAGCAAGGCATTTCAAAGTGCTTTACATCATAAACTACTTATTAGCTAGTTTTTAGACATTAAACTGCATCATCAGTGAGGTGTGTGCTCATTTTTATGACCACCATGCTCTGACTGATGATGTGACCTTGCAAATAATTGTGTTAGTTTTACCAAAAAAAGGTGATCAAACTCTGACTGGTTTTCATGGTGACAACCAGTCTGGGCTCCAGATTGCTGAGAAAAGGCAGCTTCCTGGAACCATGGATTCTATTGAAGTTTTACATTTGTCACTAACATTTGTCTATGATGTATGTTATAAAGCTTACCAGAAATGTCCTGCACTATTAACAATCATGCTAAGACAGAAGTGTCAATATGGACTGAAAGGCTTCATTCAGCTCCTCAGCTGCTATTGCTACAACTAAAGTGAGAGTACGCTAAAACAGAAAAGAAAATCCATGTCCTTGTTCACAACTTCTCCTTCTGTTCGCTGACTGGCCTGATAGGAAGCCAAAGTGGGAGAAAGGCAAACGGAGATGGAGCTGCAAAGAGACATTTGAATGGAGTGGAATCATCAGGAAGCCAATGGCAGGCTTTCCCTTTGGCTATGTGACAATTTTCTACTCTGCTGCTGTTAATATTAATTTTTGTTTGTTCATAGCATGTCACAACATTAAAGTTTAAACATGCTGTTTTTAAACTACCCTAGGGAAATACGTATTTACAAAGTATGTTACATTTTAACATATTAAACAAGACAAGTGTTGTCTCGTTGTAGCGCCTCTGTCACTAAACTATCAATGTTTGATATTTTGAGGTATGAATATATGACTTACTTTGTGAAACAACAGTACATTAAGTTCCATTATAAGGACTGTTATTTTTTATTCTTTTCCATTTTAACAAAAATAGTAAAAGATTATTAAGGCACCTAGAAAGGCATAGTTTACTAGCCTAAAGTATATAATAAGATGTAATTTAAAACATACTGACATTAATAATTTAAAGTAAGCATTAAGTAAATTAAAAAAAATCTATTTTGAGCCTATATTTTAAAGTATACACAAAATATCTTTAGCAAATATTCTAAAGATATTTAAAATATCTTCTAAATATAGACTTGAGCAAGGGTATATTTACACTTGGGCAAATGCATATTTTGTTCACTTAAAGTATACTTTTATTTGTTTTCAATTATATTTAAAGTTAGAATGTCCAAATTGGTAAAAACATACTTTTAGTATACTTCATATATATTTATAGGTAGTAAACTTAATACTTAGTATATTTGAAATATATCAATGTACATATTTTTTTCACTAGGGTACTCCCAAATGTACATAAAAACAGATGCTTAAGGAACTGTAACTGTGTAGATGTGAGAAATTACTACACACCTCTGTTGTATGAATGTGGGGTGGAAATGTTAATTTTTTTGTACAAAACAGTGTTGTCAAAAAGAAAGAAAGAAATATCCACTGATCTCTGAATTTATGTCGATGCAGGCCTAATGACCAAAAAAAATATATATTATTTTGTGAAATGATCAGAGTATGTATTTTTGAAGCAAAGCACACTAGACTGGCTCGCATAGGCACACAGAAAGACATTGGTTTGCAGCTTTAGAATGTGTCCACATAAGCAACTTGTAAAGCCTGAGTGAAAGTCCTGTTTTTTCAGCAACCAGAGGCTGAAACATGAGCTTTTAAAAGTCAGGATGAAGAATTACCTGATTGACACATCGCAGGTGTCCGATCCTTAACAGGAAGGTCGACATGTTTTTAACAACCTGCACTAAAAAACAAACATCAACATTAATTTAAAGAAATATAGTGACACAATAACAAATGAATCTTCATGTCATTATCAAACCTTCTCTTTATCTACAATTAAACTGGTTAGAATGGAAATACCACAGTGCTTAGAGAGGTCAAATGCAGCGTTTTCTCTTTACCTTGTGAAGAAAGGAAAGGATCGTGAACAGTTTGTTCCTCTAAATCAACGATCAGCGCTCCTTTATGTAACAAGACACACCACGCCCCTTGAAGCCCTCGCTCTGCTGCAGAAGGGACGAGTGCAGCCGCAGCCAACCAGAAAACACTCGAGAATGTATGGCAAGCCGATTTAACATAAATTCGGTTTTGCCTTACATTTCAGATATCTCAAATTGTTTTATGACTAGACGTTTTAGCAATTTAAGATATCGCTAAATAAATTTTGACTAGACAAAATACCTATTTAAGATATCTCTAATGACATTCTGACTAGTCGAAATGACGTCAGATTTCCCATTGACTTGCATGAAGACTTCAATTGAAGATATCTACAATGAATTGCTGACTATTTGAAATACACATTTCAGAAATGTACAATTAAATTATGACCAGTCATGAAGTAAACTCAAGATATCTGGATTGTAGTTTGACTACTCATAATTCTAATTCAAGATATCTTAAATGTATTTTTGGATAGGAAAAGTGTAGTTTTGACTAGTGAAAATGAAATTATGGATATCTTAAAAACAAATAATGACTAGACAAAATTAAAGATATCTTGAATTGTAATTTTGACTAGTCAAAATTACAATTCAAGATATCTCTAAATGAATTAGATATCTTAAATTAACATTCTGACTAGTCAAAATGACATTCCTGATATACTGAATATGTATTCTGTATAGTCCAAACGTTCCTGACTTGTGTAGCAATATGTAAGTTTAATAAAACAATGAAAAATAGAGAAAACAGAAAAAGACATTTGAAATAAACATAAAATAAAAACTTAAAACACAAAATGAAACATTTTATGTTTTAAGTGCATTCGGTTCATTGGAAATGAATAAACAGGATTTTTTTTGCAGATATCATTAGCAGTCTTATAGTTTATAAAGTTCTCCGCATTTCCAACATTGCCGAGCTCTTTCTAATTTGTGCCATTAAAGTCAACACTAACAGCAGTAAGAAATATTACCGTTAGAAGACGTGGAAAAACAAACTTAAAACTAAAAAAGTATCCATGTCAGAATGTGCAGGAAACATAAAAATCTGCAGGCAACTGTTTGAACAGCACAAAATGGCTTTCACATCATGCTTAATTCAGATATCTAAAATTGTAATTCTGACCTCTGATAATCTGTCAAATTACAGATCCAGTGACGTCATTTGAGACATCTTGAAAGGAATTTTGTCTAGTCAGAATGTAAATAAAGATATCTTAAATTGCTATTCCAGATAGTCAAAATGCATTTTTAGATATCCAGAATGTAATTACGGATAGTCAGACGAATCCGAATTTATGTTAAAATGGCTTGCCATAGTGATATGTGCTTTGACAGGCCCAAAGCGGACGTGACATTGCAAGTAACCGTGATGTACTTCCTGTGGAGGTCATTCCCGCATTCTCCACGTGGAAAACACGAACTAAGAGCATTCAGTTCGGTTCAGTGAGCAATGGCTTGTTTGGGTTTCTGTGGGGAATGGTTTCTGTCAACCTGCAGCAGCAAACTCATAGCGATCCACACCAAAGAGCCCAGGTTGGACTTGAGTTAATTGTTCTTGACTTTTTGTTGTATTAGCTCTTTATATCTCTCCGTTCTTTTTGTTGGATAGCCAAAGAAAAAGAGCTGGAGTCAGTAACAGTTTCCACAGCAAAAGGTCTAATTTATTCTTGACGACCAAATATAAAATTGTTCATCGCTGACTCCTTCATGATGTACCACAGGAAGGGTAAAGTAATCAAAGTGCATTACAGATATCTTCTTGGGAAGGCTAACCTCTGACAATAGGCTGGATTTACACACGCACCATTTCATTGACCATATGTTAACGTCGTGGGCAGACCAGCCTCTATGGACCTTCCCACGTCCACGGGTCGCGTTTCATTGGCTGATGTCCATTTTACGTAATAGCGCGGCTACCACGTGCGTGGCCGTCTCACAAACATGCTAATGTAGCGTCAGGCTAGCTGTAGACCGGCAGAAAGATTTCGCATCAACAGTCGAAGAAGGATGGTTCCAATCACCAGTGGAGAATCTGTATTTATTGGCGAAAATGCGCAACACTGTAAACAGTTAGAAATGTTATGTTATTTTCTGTACAGTAAACTAAGGTTAGAAAGGTTTTGCCTGAGGGGAGCAGCTGGGTCTACATTATTATGGTGGTTTATTATTATGGTTTTTATTATGTGTTTCTGCTGAGTCGTTTCGCAAACACTGTTAGCAAGTCAACGCTAGCAGCAGTAAGAAATTTTACCGTTAGAATAACAAACTTAAAACTAAAAAAGTATCCATGTTAGAAGTGAAAACGATGCAGTATAAATGCATCAAAAAACACCGTTAAGCTCAGCTTGTGAGCTAACATCAACCAGTTAGCACTGTGCTCCTGCTAAATGACTGATTTCTTCTACATAATATTTCAATTATGAATTTACTTAATTTAAAAAAAAGAGCTGAGTTGTTCAACTCGGACATAATTGTCTTTCTAACAAGAGAACTATGGAATCAACCAACTGAGCGAGTAATTCATTCCTTTGACGTTAAGCTAACATCTCTGTTAGCTTTTGTAGCTACCAGGCTCCCTCTACAATTCCTAAAAGCTTGCAAAATGAAATGTTAGGACTGAAAATAACAACATCAATGTAGTGAAGTTTCGCATGAACTTGTTAGAGATCCTCTGTTCATTGTTGTAGCTGATATTTGGTGAAATGATGCACTAATCGACTCAGAAATACTCTGCAGAGAATAAGTCCAAGTGGATAAATTAATAGATAAATCTATCTATCGATTTTATGAGTCTTGCATGTTTAAAGTTTCTCGCAAATATTAAGGCTTATCTCCATTTATATGCACACCCAGATTTTTGAAGTTGGATTTTACAGGAATATTAAAAGCAGTAGATATAGGACAGTCCTTTATTTCACATTTGTTGACATTTAATTTAAGCCTTTGAAAAGGTTTAAATCAATTAGAAAAGTTTTGGAATTTCATTCAGGCTGTTTATGAAGATGGTTGTGTTGTTGATTGTCGTTAAATTATCTGTGCAAAGCACAGATAATTTACCAAAGTGAGCATTTTGAATTCTCAATTTGGCAAATAGAAAGGAGCAAAAACAGAAAGGAAAGGTTGCACATCCTTGTTTTATACCTTTAATTCTACATTTTATGAATACCATGTGGAAGATGCACTGAAATGTTTGGGTTTTTTTGTCAAATGTTTTCATTACATTAATACATTTATTTCCAAGCCCAAATAAATCTAAAGCTTTGAACATAAATTTGTGTTCTATTATTTCAAAGGATTTATAAAAGTCTAAAAATACCAAACCTTTCTTTTCAACTAAGTGGTTACATTCAGTTAGGTTCAAAATAAGGCAAATATTATTTATAGAATGGTCTTTTATAAATCCAGACTGAGTGTCAGAATTAATTTGGGATATGCCTTTGGGCATAAATGTGTCAGGAGCTTGTAATTATTATTTAATACTGTTATAGATCATAAATGATCTTGTAGAGTTGGATCTTTTCTGGGTTTAGAAATGCGTGTGATAATACCTTGTATCATAGAGTGGGCATAATTTGTATTAGACAGTCATTTCCAATATTTCTGTAAACATTCCAACCACAAGGATGTAAAACCCAAAAATGTTTAAAAGTCACTTGTCAAGCCATCGCAGCCTGCTGCTTTGTCTTTGGATATAGCACCTAATGCTTTATCTAATTCTTCTGGTAATGTCTACCTCAAATATCTGTTCATAATTATCATGTAGCGGTTTACCAGCATGAGCAGGTAAAGGCGTTTTAATATGCCAAAACAGGTAGTAAGCAGCCGTGCATCGAAACGTGCTTGGCATCACCCAGGTTCACAAAGCACCAACAAAGAATCTGCCCCAATAAGGGAGAACTTAGAGAGAACTTAAATACAGGCGGGAGATAATCAACAAACTGAAACAGCTGATTGTGATTAGGGAAAATCACACACAAACAAAGGATGAACAAGAAAAAGCTAGCTGTCAAGGAGCAGATCTCGACAATAATTGTCATCAATTTCAGGAATCAAATTGAATATGATGCTGGTCCTCCCTTTGCAGCCTGAACAGCTTTAGCTCTTCCTTTATTGTCCTCAAGGTTTAGGAGTGTGTTTATGTGGATTTTTGACCATTCTTCCAGAAACGCATTTGTGAGGTCACATACTGATGTTGGACAAGAAGGTCTGGCTCTTAGACTCTGCTCTAATTCATCCCAAAGGTGATCTGTTGGGTGAGGACTCTGTGCCAACCAGTCAAGTTCAGCCTCACCAGTCTCTGCCATCCATGTCTATATGAACTGTGTGTTTTGTTCATTGGTGCAAAGTCATCTTGGAAGAGGAAGGGGCCAGCTCCAAACTGTTGCCACAAAGTTGGGAGCATGGAATTGTCCAAAATGTCTTGGTATGCTAAAGCATTCAGAGTTCCTTTCATTGGCACAAAGGGGCCAGGCCCAGCTCCTGACAAACAACCTCCACCAAACTTTACACTTGGCACAAGTGTAAAGACAATACTTTACTAAATACTTGGAAAGACAAGTATCATTTTCCTGTCAACCACCAAAGCCAGATTTGTGGGGGAAGAGCACACATGTTCAGAACACATGTTCTGTCTGAAAACAGGATTTCATGTCGTTTGTTCTCAAACCTGAAGTCATCCATCTTGTTTGTCAGCTTATTAATGGGTTCCATTGTCGAGTTGTTGTTTTCCTAATTGCGGGACACAATTACCTTGATGGTGGTGTCCATGTTTTGATGGGCATTGGAGGAGATTTTTCTTTTGGTTAACAATGACAATGAAGTCTCCTTTGCATATTCCTGGTTGACAATTGCAGAGCACATCTTAGCGCCGTTAGCTTGGCTACAGTATCAGCTTTTTCCACTTTCATATTCGGCGTTGTTCGAAATTTGGAAAATATAAGGATTTCAGTTTTAATGATTTAAATATTTTGGTGCTCAAAAACAGAGGTCTAAACTGCTATATCGGAATCAGTGAACTTATACAGGAAGCCATCTGCCCAGATTTCCATTTTTACCAGACTCCTGTTTGCAAGTCAATCGGTAGAATGTGATGAGGTGCGTGTGTGTGAGTGTGTGTGTGTGTTGTTTCAGGCTTGTAGCTGGAGGACCTTGTCTTAAATTTTCTTAACAGGAGCATTAGATTATATTTGAACACCAAGTTGGTGGCGTGCATCTATAAACTTCTTGATTCAGAAGTTTTGAAGCATGTCTGGCCTTTCAGTGCTGGCGCTTTCCAGTTTGGGTTCCCTTGATGATAGCTCCAACTTCTTCTGTTGAAATATTCATCACTGTTTATAGACTTGTTGCGACCGGGATGGTAGGAAATTCATTTTCTGGTAAGCGTAAGTTACAGCAGCTCACAGTGTTCAGGAGTCACCACACACCTTGTCACAGTAGTGATACACCCACATTGTATCTTTGTTCTCCTCCTTTGTCCAGTTATGTTTAGGAACTGCCAGGTGAGCTGGAAGGGTTTGACTGTAGTGCTTGTGTTGACCTTCACATTAAATCTCAGAAAGCACATAGTGATAGAAATAGTTTCTGTCTAACAGGGAAATTTGATTCAATTTATCTCACAACAATCTAAATCTAGAATATTTATTTATTTCTGCCTGAAGTTTCCAAAGTGGATAGAAGAAACTATGGAGCTGGTGCTGTACTGTACTGCTTTCTGCTGCCAATACTTTTAAGTGATCATCATTTTATGTGTCACTATGACAGCAATGATTCAAAATGTAAAAACATGAACATTTCTGTGCTCTTTTGCAGAGAACCATTTGTGTTTGACTGCAGCCGTGCTCAAAAGAGGATAAAAAAAGTAAAAGATGTAAATAGCAGGTAAAGAGGGTGCTTTGGATAACCAACCATGTGTACTAATATCAGAGGTGGTGCTAATTTAATAGCCTTATGTTTTCTGTCTTCAGTGACGCATCAGAGGACACCGGAAGTGACACGGTCCTTGCTTTTGCAGCGTCTTCATCTGGAAAATTGATGGCAATAACTGATGACACCAAACGACTGATCCTGTTTCAGTGTGAACCTTCATGGCGTTGCATTAGCATCAGGTAAACATTAGAAGTTTCTGTGTTAGTTAAGTCTGGACAGCGATGATCTACTCCTCTGTACGCAGCTATTTTTTTTTAGGCAGTTTGCCCCATTCTTCTTTGTTTTATCAGATAGGACAGAAACTTCAAGTGAATTATTGATATTGACATGACCTTGAGCGTCTTACTCTGTTTTAGGAGCGATCTTGTGTGGCTTAACCTTTCTGTTACTTCTGGGTATCAGATGTCAGCGTTTCACATTATTATAATCCAGCTCAATGCCTTTTGTCTTAATAAATACTGCCACCTGTTGTTCCCCTTCATTGCATGCATTCAGTGCTTTTGCACACGACCTGGGATTAATGGAAAATCCAGTGGTGACGATGTCATTTGTTCTCAAGGTCCACTAAGGTCGCTAAACTGCTTGTCCTTCCTTCTCTGCTCTTTCTACAAACAAAGCATCTTCACCTCATCAGTCAGTGCCTACATATGTTTCTGCTGTGCTTTCACATCTGACACTCCAATTGGTGGTCAAGGGACTCTTTTTTTTAATTGATTGTCCAAAGTCATTGTCAAGGTTTGTATTTTTTTTTCTAACATTTAAATTCCAACTCGGTGTTGTGGTGACCTTCTGGTTTGGCTAGTTGGCTGCTAGTGTTGTGCTCTTGTTGTTTCTTAAATAAACAACCAATGGTAGCAGTAAAGTGATACATTTCTCCGGGCTCAATCAAAGTCCCAATCAGCAAAGATGCTCCACAATTCTCCTCTTGAAGCAAGCCCTTAAAGGCGGAGGTTGCAGAGCAGCTCTGCTGTCCGTCCCTCCCACTCCCCAAGAAAATTATGGACTCTGACCATCTTCTTCATGAGAATGTTTTGGGAAAACAGAGTGTCTTCAGCCAAAGGCTTCCTCGGATTCGCTATAATACAGACTGCTATTCTGGAATTAATATGTTTAAAACGAGATGTATTTCCCTTTGGGATCAATAAAGTGTTTTTAAATTTGAATGTGTTTGAATCACCCACAGGTGGGTGATTAGGAGCACATCAACTAGTGTTCAGCCAGGGTGAAGATGAACTGCTGGTGGCGGACAAGTCTGGAGATGTTTATTCCTTTTCTGTGGTTGAACCAGAGAAGGACGGTGAGCTGAAGATGGGTCACCTTTCGATGTTGCTTGCTGTGGTAAGAATCACGTATTATGGACAATGAGGGCTTAAGATAAGTGTTTAACATTCAACCAATCTCTATAAATATGTCCACCTATCTCCATCTTGTATGAACACTTGCGTTTAATTAGTTGTTTTTTGGTGGTGACAAAAAAATTAGGTAGCTCATCATGAAAATTTGAATGCTGACTTATTTCTACTTCTATAATATTTCTATAATAAGTTTTTGTACCTCAACTACTGATTTTATATCTTTACAAGAAACTGCATAAATTAGTATGGGATCATACAATTACAGATTGATAGAGCAGTATGTTTATATATATATATATATATATATTTTTTTTTTAAACAAAGCACTGATTCATTTTTTTATTTACTTTGAGCTAAGTATTACAGAACTTATATTGTGAAACAAAGTAACAAAACTTGGTTCTCTTTATTATTTGTTTGAATATTATAAATAGATTAGAATGAAAGTGAATTGAATTACCGGTATGTAAGTTTTGAGTGGCGTTTCATAAGCATTGCCATTAGATAGAATTTTTGGGGCTTAGTTTAACGTGCATCTGGTCGTCCCCAGAACATTAAGCCTTTAAAAATGTCAGCCTCAAGCAAATTGATATACTGAATAAAAACAGAATTAAATTTGATAGCAACTTTCTTTTGGTTTGCCATCAAGGTTGAAACTTGCCTCGGCCAGCTGATTTTGCTCTGCTCTTGTCAGCTTTACTTTGAGGGTTAGTGGTTAAGTTTGAATGGGTTAAACAGGGAGTGGTGACGAACTGCTCCATTCTCTGTCTTTTAGACCATATCTGCAGATGACCGATACATCATTACAGCTGACCGTGATGAGAAGATCAGAGTGAGCCATCGCAGGTCTCCTTACAATATCCAGTCTTACTGCTTAGGGCATCACCAGTGAGTACACCTACATTAAAAAAAGTAGAACTAGCTGTACTTACTAGGATAACTAATAAAACTATTTGACTGTGTAATTTCATATGAGATTTACAGTTGTGTAGGTGGATTTCTTTTTTTTTAATTTAGAAAGACAGATATCCATCTCATTCATTAATTACAGCGTTACCTATTTAAGGTCAAACATGAGGACAGAAGCAGAGAGTCCAAATGATTTTGTCCATACTGCCTCTCTGGTATTTTCTTTTACAGACTGCTACTAATTTTAGTTGTGAACGATAACAAAATTGAACATAAGTGGGGATTGCACCACCTTAAGCTATAAAAACCAAAGAACACATATTTCACAAGTACAGTCAAATGAAGACAGATCTACTGGGTTTTACATACTCAGTCCATTTGGTCTGAAAAACCGAATGGAGAATCTGTTACAATTCAAATATTTTGATATTTCTGGACTTGCATTTGACTATTTATGCCCATTAGTGGCATTTATTTTTTATGATTTGATGGAATGCTGTTATGGTTCAAATGTTTGTAGCATTTTTGTACCTTTTTAAAATCTGCCTCATGTTCCTTCAATTTAAATGTCTTGATTCATTGTAAAAAGAAAACTCACACGTTCTTGTAAAATGTTCCTTTTGTCAACTTGGAGGGAAAAATGAATCTTTTCTATAACATAAATCTGTTCAAGCCATAAAAAACAAGATCAAGCCATTCACTGATAGTGGATGGATCTGGTTTTAGCCATTTTACTTGTGACGGCTTTCTTACTGGCTGCCAGTAGTTTTTATTGGTCCATGTCTCCAACTGTAGGTTGCCCAAGTACACCGTTTCACATTTGAATGGAATGTTTACATGAAATATATTTTCAATATGTTTATGGAACTCTTCCCAATATGGTCCCCGTTTTTTTGATATCGTCTCTGAATGCGTGGAACAAAAAATTGTGTGACGTTTTTCCAGCAAAACTCCCGCCTTGTGCTTGATCTGGTTGAGACCCACTGCAGTTCTGCCCAGCCTTCTTGTGAGATTATCACCTTAATTTCCTTTTCTTATTTCCTCTTTATGTATTCTGTATTCTCATGTTTAGATAGTTGTATGGCGTTATAGAATTTAGAGATAATTCTGCTGTCTGGGCTTAAATAGTGATAGAAATACCCCCATAAAACTTGAATGACTTTTTCTCAACACCTCTTTAAAATTTCTCTTAAAATAATGTCTCACCTGCAAGTACCTGAAAAAATAATCTTTTTCCAGGCCATGATCCTTCTGTAAGGTTTCAAAACTCTGAATATCCCTTTGTGGACAAATGAATAATAGGTAGTTAATCCTTTTGAGATCCATATCTTTAATCTATTATCATTCCAATTGAAATCCAAATCACAGGCACACCGCCTCATTATTTTGGATCTATCTCCTATTTTGCAATTTTTAGCCAATTTCAGCAGATCCTAGAAGACTCCATAACGGATAGCTTTCTCAAATCCTGAGTTGAGAAAGCTCAAATCAGGATTTGAGCTTACCTAACCCTAACCCTATCCCTAATTATCTCACTGGGACGCAGTGCCCTAAATCATAAACATAATTTTAATAATCAAGATATTGGAATTTAATCAATCATTGCAATCATAATTGTAACAAAGCTTTTGTGGGTTTTTTTAATTAACAAAGGCATTGCATGCAAAAAATTTGCATACCTTGAATGGGGCAGTGCTATACTAAATAGTATAGTAGCTACACTTTATAGTATAGTATAATTATTATACTATAAAAAGTATAATAGCTATACTTTTTCTAGATATAGTTGAGCTATAAAACGTATAGCTCAACATTTTTGAGCTATACATTGTGTCATAAGGTAATTCCCTCATCAAAAACAAACCTGTAATATTTATTTAATGATTTTATGCTTGTTGAAAAATCCTTGAATTTCCCTTGGCAGTAATTATGGTGTGCAAAACGCCTGGTCTCATCAAGCTTTGTGTTTTCCACAAAGCTCCTCATCTGAGCTGCAAGCCAAGCTTTTTCCTCATGGAGCAGTCCTGTCCTCCGACTTCCCCACTCACTTTAAGATTAGTGCCAGTGGAAATAAGTAAACGTCTGCTAAAATTGTGTGTCTGCTGAACTTATCATACAAACTACTTTTCAGTGCAACAGTCCTATGAACGATGTCAAAGGTAGAGTATTGGAAAGACCGGGAGTTTCTTAACGAGACATAGGGCCAATTTCAAGGCGTTAAATTGCAAAGTCACATTGCTTTTCTGGTTATCCATCCTTTGTCTTATGCTTATCCGGGGTCAGATCATGGGGGTAGCAGCCTAACTAAGAAGGCCCAGATTCCCTCTCCTCAGCCACTTGTTGCAACTCCTCCAGGGAATCCCTGCTACAGAGCCGAGTTGGGCCAGTGGAAACGCAGTCACTCCGAAATAGAGCCAAGCTTAGCAGCCGAGCCAGACTGCTGAAGTAGAGCCGGTGGAAAAGAGGCAATTGTCCCCCCAGGTGTTCTGGGTCTTATGTTAGGTCTCTGCCTGGTGGGACATGCTTGGAACATCTCACCAAGAGGCATCCTGAGCAAATGCCACCTCAACTGGCTCCCTTGAACTGTAGGAGCAGGGGCTCTGCTCTACTACTTAGGTCATGTTTCACATGCAGAAATCTTCTTTCTGTAATGACTGAAGGTAACATATCTACTTGACTGTGATGTAAAATTACATTATATTGATGGAAAATACTGGATACTGCTTGAACTTCATTGTTTTAGCATCTATTTTTTTAATTAAAGCCCACAACAATTGCTACTTTGCATCAGATTTACAAAAACTTTTGAACTTTAAATAATTCAATGAATGTTATCATCAAATTTGTTTGAGCTTGGATATGAATGCAAGCAAAGCAAATCTTAACTCTGTAAATCTGTTAAATTTGACATGTTTGCTCTGTGGTGGTGTGTGGAGGTGCTGTGTTAATAAAATAAAGTCGTGTCGTTCTTTCTATCAGGTTTGTCAGCACGCTAGAGATCCCAAAAAGACATCCACACTGGCTGCTGTCCGGATCAGGGGTATGTATGCATGTGTGTGTTTCCCTTTGTTAGGCTATGCACTTAGATAATCTCTTATTTGCAACACTGATAGTACATTTGGTTTTACAGACATGCACTTTCAACTGAGAGTTGTAGGAGTTATAAAAATTTGGGGTGTAAAATGCATTCGTCACTTGTTTTGGATACTTGCATTTGTTTTTTTTAAACTTGTAAAAATCTGAGACCATGGATTTAATGCTGATTTTTATCATAAAGCGCTGTAAAATTGAGCCTGTGAAATTTATATTTGCCAGGATGGAACAGTGAAGCTGTGGGAGTTTGAGTCTGGTCGCAAACTGCAAAACTGGGACCTTGGACAGCTTGAAGACAAGCTATGCTCTGATACTGCCAAAGGAAATGTAAGAAGATCAAATATTGTCTGCAAAAAAAATATGTATTGCTCATTAAATATTTTAAATCAAATACAATAGATTATCATTTATTAATGTTTTTTAAGCTACAAAGAATAAGTAAATTTTTATTTGCTAAATAATAGTTAAATGATTGTCTAATATTTTAAATCTCTGCATTCTGTCTTTTAGTTTATTTATTTTTTTAATTATATATAATTTTCTTTCTGCTTCACTATTGTGTACCACTTTTTGTTGGTCTTTCACATTAAATTCCACTACTTTTATCTAGGGCTGGGCGATATGAGAAAAATCTAACATCCTGATATATTTTTGCAAAATCATGATACACGATATATATTGGCATATTTTTAAATGAGCTCTATTTAAAACTATAGACCCCTTGCAGCATGACGTCACCCACGTAATTTCCCTGCCACACTTAAGTATATGCTCCGTATATGAAAGAAAAAGGGTAGTTGAATTATCTACATCATGACTGGATAACAAAGTCAAAAAAAGTTTTAATTAAGGAAAAAAATAAATGCGTGACAGGGAAGTATGTCAGTTGCTTGCTTGGCTTTGACAAACTTAAAATATAGATGTGCTGTGGAATAAGGTGTGTTTTGGTTCAGCTGAAAATAAAAATGCAACAAACTGACTTTACTGATCATCTCAGTAAAGCAGGTGTTTAAATTAGCTAATCAACCACCGCTGTATTAGCTTGACTAGCAATTAAAATTTTTAGATACGACTTTGTTCACTGTCACTGATCTAATATCTGCTACACATTTACAAAATCTTGGAGGCTCTATGTTGGAGATGAAAATAAATAAATGCTCTGTCTGCTCTGTGTCTCTGCTCTCAGCTCCGACACACTGAACTGTCAGCTGGTTGTAACGATCAGCCCCTCCTGTTTCAAACTCTTCTCTCATTAACATATTAGTTAGAGAGCTAAAGATGACTGAAATATTTGCTACCTTTGAGAAAAACAAAGCTAAGTCTATCAAACAATACATTCAGTTTTGCTAGTTTTGATTTCAAAGGCATAATGAGGCATTTTATCATGATTCAGCCAAAGTAAGAAAATAACAAACTGCAGTGTGATGTTTATTGTTCATGTGTTTCACCCTAATGAGCAGTGAAAGTAAATAAAAGGTTTCCATGTCTCTTGCTTTAAGTATTTACTTATTGGAGGGTTTTTTGTTTGTGCTGCAGAGCCACAGCTGGCTCCTCACTTCAGTGGCTCTAACAGAGTCTGTGCCATTCTGCACTGCTGCTGTTGCTCTTCCTAAATATTGGACTGAAGCATTGTTCTAACAATGGGGGGAGGAACTAAGGATTCATTCTTGTTTCTTAGATAAATGGCAGATATATTTCATTCTTTGTTTCTTTCGCCTTTTCACATTGATACTGTTTAAATACAAACATTTCTTTTGTGATTTGCTGAAGGGGCCAATTGCACACTTTTCTATTTTTTGGTATTTTTTGGAAAATATTCAATGTAGGAAAGTCATAAAATGGTTCCAAAACTTGTAACCTTAATTAATTGGATGTTCAATATAAATTGAACATCAGATGAATCATAATTAAACATACTGAGAAATTAAAAGCAGATTACTGCTTTTAACTTTGTAAGAACATCAGCCACATTTTTTTTTAATTAGCAAATGTTTTATCAGCATGTTGGGCTCATGTGATTTCTGCTCCAGAAAGGTGAAGGTCTCTGGACATCCTGAAGGTAAACACCAAATGGCAGTCAGGAAGATGGACACTGATGAGACATCCTGCAACTCGGAGGCTGCAGTTTACCAACATCTGAAAATACATTGGAATATAAGATGAATGTGCGGCGCCAGCATGCAAATCTGTCACTAAGTTATTTGCAACACCACCCTGGCTAAAATTGACGCATGTATATTCGGCACTACAAGTTTTATAGTAGTTGAAAACATAAATCTGCATTATCTTACCCTGCAACATCTGGGTCACCTGCTTTCCTCCAGCTACAGGCGGAAATCAGCTGTCCTTCTCGCCACATTTGCAGCATTCCTCCTGCTGGGCCTTTCCTAGAAATCTAAGGAATGTGTCCATGGCGCCCCCTAAAAATCTTTCAACAAAAATTAGGCCCAAGCCATTCTTTGACCAACAATCATAAAATTCGGTACACGTGTCTTGACAGGACTTAAAAAAAGTTTCTTGGAGTTGTGGCCCAAACCCAACAGGAAGTCGGCCATTTTGGATCGAAGCAGTTATTATATATTTTTTGTATATGTTGTAACTCCTCCTACAAGTTGTGCGATTCAGATTTCAGAATCACTCAGCACAGTCTTGATGCAGTGAAGGTCAATAGTTATCAAAATCTTTTTTGTATATGAAAGCATGCGGGTGTAGAAAAGTCTCAAAATCTGCCAATTCATCATGTAAACACCAGTAACTTCCACACCCAAGATCACAGTTTTATCATGCCTTTTATCTCAGTACTGACCAACACTGATGACTTTCAGACGGTTCATTAGTGGCATCACATGAGCCTCACCTCTTTTGAACATAAAGTCACCTGTTTTTTTTCCAGTTCTCTTCCCTTTTCTCTATCATTCATCAAATTTTGGACATGTATTTAATGACAGAACTAAATTCTTCTGTCAACACTGGCTGGTGTCTGAACCATGTGGGTGTGGCTGAATGGCGAATTCCAATTCCTTGCCTTTTACACGCCGCTGATTTTAAATCACACGTGCATCATCCAATTTGAACCAAACTGGATGCGAGTCATCTTCGTTAACCTCTAACGATGCCAAGCGGATTATTTTGGAATTTTGAGATCAATGCGCCCCCTACGTTATTGGAACAGTTATAGCTCCATGATACATTAATCAAGTTGCACCAGATTTTTCAGGCAGCACATTAATGACATCACTAAGAGAAAATACAGAAGATTGTTGGGTCACTCATCTTGCTTCTCCCTCTATGTTGTGAAATATTAAAACCATATCCACTAAGCATAGATAACTGCGGCGCTGAGCTGTGTCGGCCGCCAATGCTGCTTGCAGCTTTAATTTCTATTGATATTGATATCATTATTGTTTTGTATCAGTGACCATAAAATGGAAAATAAATGAAAAGGGCGATGTTTGCATGTCGTTAAGTTTCTGAAATATTTGTTTTTAATGAAAGATTGCTGCTTCTTTTTCTGTCGGTATACTATCAGTTCAGTCTTTAAATCTGTCTTTATTTTCCAGAACACAGCTGTGTTTCGTATCTGCAGTTCCCCAGGTGGCCATGATGTAGCTGTGTTGTGTGACGGGTGAGTGCCGGGTCCCTGGAAATCTGTTTTCTACTCACACATGCATACACAAGTGTGTCTTTCTACCTTTACAGGGCTTTGCATTGACTTTAACTCCTATTTCATTCATTTCTACAGGCTGACCCTTAAACTAACCCTAACCGTTAACATGTTTGAATTTCCTACTCCACCAAGCTGCAGTAGTGCTGGGCAGGAATTGTGCAGGGTGCAGTGGCGTAGATATAAGTTTAGGATGGACAAGTCTATCCAATCCACCATATTACGCTGGAATACGTTTCTCTAAGGATTATTTACTGCTATGAAGTCTCATGCCATACAAATAGTAAAAGTTCATAAATGCATCCTATGAGAAACGAAAATGCAGTTCTGGGGTAATTTATTATTCAACCATATTTTTATAATGAATGTTGTCGTCTCCAAAGCAAGGGTTATATGCATGTCAGGTTCAAGATTTCTTTATTCTTATGTCCTGCCCCTCTTTCTTCTCCTAAAGAATTGTTGCATGTCGTATAGAAATTCTGGAGGAAGTTTGCAGCTGACATGACTGTTGAAAATGGAAAATAATTTTTCTTTGTAGCATTTACAGTCAATGTTATGGATTTTGTTGTGGCAGTGATAAGTAATCAAGTGTTTCTTTCAAATCTGCAGCTTATTACCCCAAATCAATAATAAAAGTGTTGGAATAGCAAAACAAAGCCTGGTAAATTTATGAGCTCTGGGTTACCCCAAACCCCTTGAAAGGGCTCAGATTTATGCTGTAAACTAGCTTAATTCAAATACAAAATTTACCATTTGCCATATTCATCACTATTCAATTGTATCCAAAATTACATTATTTTTGTTACATTGTGTGAAGTCTACATGATTTTTTCTTTACATTCCTTCACAATCTTGTACACCAAAAGCTGAAAAAGGTTTTTTAACAGTACAAAGTCAATTCTGGAACTTGAAGGATATAGACTAGAACAGGGGCGTCAACATCCAGTCCTGGGCCGGTGTCCTGCAACATTTAGATGTGCCTGAATAGAATAATTAGATCACTAGCAAGGCTCTGGAGAACTGATCTACACAAGGAGGAGGTAATTAAGCCATTTCATTCCTGTGTTTTGTACCTGTGGCACATTGAAAAACTGCAGGGCAGCGGCTCTCCAGGACTGGAGTTTGACACCCCTGGACTAGAAGTTCTGTATCTTCCCTAACCATGAACACAAGCAAAGGACCCCTACCACACTGTTCCTGAAGCACAGTTCGGACTGTCTGAACACTGGTTGCATCCTTTTATTCAACCCACTGGTGAAAATTTCAAACTTCTGAGCCTGTGGTTAGGGTTGTATGAAAGTGGACAAGCCACAGGATTGATTTGTTGCAGCAACAGACCTGCAGCTTCAAATGTCACATTACAAATCAGTTTTTTTGGAACATGTTTGTAGAGACCAAGACAGACAACAATGACAGAATTTAAGCCAAGCAATGTTTCTTGCAAAAGCACATATTGCCCAATTAGTAAGAGTCTTTTATGATTTTGACATTTGGTATGTGTTCTCAGACTGATGCACGTTTACCTTTTCACCTTGGAGCAAACCAGTGATGAGAAGCTGAGATTTCACAGTAAACTCCACTTTTTCCACCGCCCCATGGACATAGGCTTTGACATGAAAGGACAGCTTTGGGTGCTATTGGACTCCAGTGATGTTCCACTCCAAATCCACACATTCAGAAAAAACTCCTGGGAGGTATGGTTGGACTCAATCTTACACACATCTAGATAAACAAATTAATAATCTTATTTTTAATATCTATTCTTCTTCTGAATGTTTATTTTATTGTTTTAATAGCAGTGAATTATGGAGTGAGGTTGTGAACCAGTCAAAGGATTGGTATTTATTTCTTATTTTGTCCAATCAGAGTTGTTGCATCGATAAGAAGCTTTTCATCAGTTTGGAAAGCAAATAATAAAGTTCAAACTTTGCATTTCATCTCCTGCTCGATCAAGAAATGCACAAGTTTGTACAACTTTGTTGCTCTTTTGACCTTTAACTGCAACAATAGAAAAAAAACAGCGTGATCATCATGACCAGCCCTGATATGCCCACATGTCTGCGTGGTTACAGCTGAGAAGTTGACATGAGAGCTTGTTCTCCGTTGGGTTTGTTCTGAAGAAGCTTTTGGTGACACGCATTGTATTCCAAATGACACCTGCAGTCTTTCCTTGTGTGACCAAACAAATCCCCTTTTGTTTAATGAAAGTCAACTGTTTTTAAAGGAAAATTTAAAAAGAATATGAAGTAAGATTTGTAGTTTTTCACATTATGTTTGCTTCTTTTTAAAAAAAAAAAAAAAAAAGCAGATAACTAGCTGTTTGTTTTATCACTGACCACCTTCCAGTTTTTATTGTATATGACAATAATTGACTCATGTAAATATGGAAATACCCAAAACAAAAGCGAATTAGGAGTGAGGAGGCAGATTTAGGGTACCCTAAGCCTAATTGTTTGTAAAAATGAGTTAATGGCATTAAGAATGGAATGAAAAGTATAATAAAAAAGATGTAAAGGCATAAAATCAATTTATATATTTACTTCATTATACATTAAGCACTGACCTATTAAGAATATAAAAAGACAGGTATATAAAAATAATCCATAGTTAACCAAAGGTCTGAGAAATGCCTGTAAAAGAAAGACCTACTATACAGAACATATCTAAAACAGAGAACAGAACATGCACCAGATATTTTATTCTTGTGTCTTCTATAATTAATTTGTATAATAAGATTACAATAAAAGGATTATTATAAAAATAAGTTAGAGGAGAATAAAAACAATAAGGGAATCTGGAATGCATTAAAACATCATGCCAGACATACGTTACCAAACTATTTCCTCATATGATATTGAAAACTATATTGGCAAATAACTAATCAGTTTTTAGTAGAGACCAACTTTAGAGGTCGGTCTTGAGTTAGTGAAAAGTATCTCACACCCAAGGTTGAATGAAGATTTGGAAGTAGTTACAGAAAGGAATCACCACTCAATGTTTAGAAATGCTTTCAATTCAACTTTGTACATTTCCCAATCTGATGAAAAGTCATCCCAGTACTCAAAACTGACTAAACACAGCTTTGCAAACCACAGACCTGTCTCATTTTTGCTGCAATTTTCAAAACATTTTAGAAAAACTCTAACCAATTAGAAATCTTTCTGGATAAATATAAAATACTGAGAGTCAATATGGCTTTTGGGTAAATAGACAATACCGCATTAGACATATACAGACCACTTTTTTCAGTAACGAGTAATCTAACGCATTGCTATTTCAAATCCAGTAGTCAGACTACAGTTACTTTTCGAAACCACTTTGCGTTACTGTCTTCTTTTGTTATTTAATTGCATTTCTTGTATGTGTCTTGTTGAGTTACTGACGTCTTTATGCGACAAAATCAGTAACAGGAATGTAAACAATGGAGGGAAATGTGCATTGTGATGGTAGAAAAGATTTTGAGTTTTTGCCGCCAAGTCCGATCATTCAAAGCGGCTTTGGGCTTTTTTTTAAGTCTTTTTCAAATGAATGAGTTGCAGGTTGTGCCCTTTTGGGCTCGTTTTTAAACGTGGGCTTGGAAATCACAGAATTTGTCTGTTATTAAGGTACTTTTAGTCAGGCTCTCCCTGTCCATCATTTCTCAGATGATCCGTCCTGCTGTGTCTTTGTTAATGTCAAGTTAATATGTCACCTGTGAATGACGTCGAACCATCCAGAAAATTGAAAACATCGAGATTAATCTGAACAGCGCAATAAACGTGAAAACAGCCACGAATGAACGAGTGCGTAAAGTTGAGCAACTGAATGCCATTATAATTATTAACAGTTATATAAGTGTCACAAATCTGTGAAGCAGCCATCAGAGTTGTGGAGCGGCAGGACGAGATCTGTGAGCACAGGACCGTAACACACAACCTGGAGGCTGGGGGCAGGATGGGGGCTTTAAAATCTTTAAAATCAACAGTGGGACACAAAAACACGCACAAATTACTTACGTTTTTTTTGTACTGTTGTAACCATTAAAAAAGATTCTCTTTAGTTCAACCTCATGGGTGGAGATACATTGTTGATGCTACCATTATAAAATAACTTGCAATCAAGTATTGGGAAAGATCAATATCATTTTCACAGGTGGTGTTGTTAGCAGCTGCTGAAAGTAACTAAAAAAGTTACTTTTAATGTAACTATGTGACTTTCCAAATCAAATAATCAGTAATCTAAGTTACTTTTTCAAGGAGTAATCAATAATCTGATTTAAGTTACTTTTTCAAAGTAACATACCATCACTGGTCATATATTATTCAGTAAACTAGAAAAATATTGAATCAGGGCCCTGGCATTAGATTGTGTAAAGAGTTAAGAGTTTCTATAGCAGGGCAATCACTGTCCAGAATATCTGACCCCAAATTGTTTTTGTTATGTTAATGAAATGTATAATGTATTGAAATGACTAATATTAGTTAATTTTGCAGGTGACACAAATATTTTTGCCATCACCTATTATTAACTGGAATCAGTTAGGGTTAGGGTCAGCTATTTGTACAGCTCATTTCAGCAGCAAGGCATTTCAAAGTGCTTTACATCATAAACACAAAGTCATGCATCATAGAATAAACGATACATTGTTCCATATTACATTTCAAATACAATTCTAAACAGGTGTGTTTTTAGTTGAGATTTAAAGGAAGTCAGGGTTTCTGCTGTTTTACAGTTTTCTGGAAGTTTGTTCCAAATTTTGGTGCATAGATGCTGAAAGCTGTTTCTCCTCTCTTGGTTCTGGTTCTGGGGATGCAGAGCAGAACCAGAACCAGAACCTGAGAGTCTGGAAGGTTGATACAACAACAGCAGATCTTTGATGTATTGTGGTGCTAAACCGTTCAGTGATTTATAAACTAACAACAGTATTTTAAAGTCTATTCTTTGAGCTACAGGGAGCCAGTGGAGGGACTTTAAAACTGCTGTTATGTCTCTATCTTCCTGGTTTTAGTGAGGACAGGAGCAGCAGCTTCTGGATCAGCTGCAGCTGGAGGATTGATTTGTTGGACAGGCCTGTGAAGACGCTGTTGCAATAATCAATGCGACTAAAGATAAACACATGGATGAGTTTCACTAGATCTCCAAACTTCTCCCAAAATTGTTCACCAACTGAAATTTTCGGATTACAGTGGAATCATAAATGGCCGAGGCCAAACTGCTCTGGAGAACAAAACGTTATAACTTTCATATAAAAAGGTCAATTGGCTCCAAACTTGGAATGAGTGATGTGGTCATAGTCTGATGTCATCTAAGCGCTGCCCTCTCAGAACAGGAAGTGATTTATTTATTTATTTTAATTTTTTTACTTGGAAAGTTCAATCTCTGACACCCTTAACCTAATCAATATAATCTTGTGGAAAACTAGTTGGTGTCACTTGCTTTGAAGCACAAAGAATGGCACAGGTGACGCCGGTGCCATACATTTGGCTCTTAATTCCAGATATTTCACCCGAGCAGCACCAAACTCACTGTGATTGAGCCTTGTCCACCCCCCAACAGGAATGCAGTCCAATATTTGGTGGCTGTGGCTTATTTCCTCCACGGTGACCCCTAGAAATCTTTTTTTTTTAAATACCAAAAGCCATGCCTTTAAAGGTTAACATGAAATTTGGTACACTTGTATATTTTTAAAGGCCATAAAAAAGCGTCTCTGGGAGTCATGGTCTAAACCCAACAGGAAGTTAGTCATTTTGGATCGTCCTACAGCTTGGAGATCAAAATCAGTCATCATAGTCTTGAGGCAGTGAAGGTCAAAAGTTATCAAATTACTTTTTTTAACATCAAAGTGTTTGGCCGTGGCCAAGCTTGAAATCTCGAGGCGGGTCGTGGTCCGGTCCGGACCGGACCACGGACCGGACCGGACCACGAACGCTCACCGTGGTTGGTGAGCGTGACGTGACAATTGGATGATGCAGGTGAGACTGAAGAGTCTTTCAGTTTGAATTTGCACCAAGGCTTCATTTCCATATCCACCATTATCTCTGTGTTATCCCAGTGTGTTTCTGACTGCCTGCTAACTTGGCGTTGGCTTCCTCTACTCGAACTCATACACACCTGAATCTAATTCCCCTTCCTTCTCCACTGCTCAATCTGCTCCAGTGGTCGAAATTTGTGTGGTAATTATTATATCAGTTAGTTTGACACATTTTACGTGCTGTTTCGCTTTTTGTTTTCATAAACAAAAAGCCCCTCACTTTTCACAGACTCCAGTTAGTTGAAATGGTGCTATTTATAACCTTGGAGAGGACAAGAGGAGAAGGCCAAGGAGGACTGAGGAATTTCATTGGATAAGCCCAATTTCCATCAAGAAAATCAACTAATTGGCTGTCGCAGTTGATACAAATTATATTTAATATACCTTTTTTTTTTTAGGGCCACCAGAAATGAACAATATGTGCATCAGTCTGTACTCCAGATAGTCAGTCAAACTGAATTATATTTTTTTTCTGCTGAAATTGTCAACCCACCATGGTGGCGGGCGCTTTGCTCCACACCACTTTATACTTTTACCTGCATTTGGCCAGTAGTGAGTGCTAATTTCCACCCGAGTACAGTCATTGTACTATGTGTGTACCTCTGATTTTAACTAAGCTAAAACAATTATTTTCCATTTCACCTGTTTAGAAAAATATAAATGTTGCTAATGCCATCTATTTCAAAACAGGCAGCTTACAAATTTGTTCTTCTTCTTCTAGTGTGACACTGAGAACAACAACCTCAGAAGAGTGACTGATATCATCAGAACGCAAAGGGGCACACCTGACAGTAAGTCCAACCTCTAACAATAGTGTGGCTAAGAAGAAGAAACAAATTTATTAACACCCTGGGACAGAGTCTGTCAAATCTGCTTTTAGTGATTCTGGCTTTCTGGTTCTGGTCATAGCTCTTGTGACAGCAGGTTGTCACTGTATGTGTGAAACTGGATTGCTATATCAGCACAGATGGTCTTGTCATTTGTCTTTGCTAAGAAAAGAAAATAGTCTGTTTCATGTTAAAGAGGACAGGTTTGATTCTAATAAGTTCTTGGTTGGGAAAGTTAGACAAAAGCCCCTTTTGTACTCAGGACCAGGCCACCTGGGTTCAAACCTGGTTTCTGTGTTTGAGTATATATAATTTTACAACTTCCTGGTCTGCATGAACCTGAAGGTACACCCGATGATGCTTAATCAGATTTCTTGGTTTCAATGTTGATCTGACTGCTACACTGCAGTCTGGATTTACAAGCACCACTTCAGACTAAGTTTTGGTATCAGGGAGCATTTTTCTTGCTCCCTGATCAAAAGGGGCCAAGACTCTAACAGGGGGTTTTCCAAGCAGGGGAATTTCTGCAAGATGGCTCAGGAGCACCAAGCACAAGTCCAGGTCATACATAGATAATTTAGGCTGCATTCACACTGCAGCCTGGAGTGACCCAATTCCAATTTTTTGTCAAATCCAATTTTTTTGCCAGGGCCATTCGCACTGCCGCACATATGTGACTTGTATGTCTTCTGCAGTCTGAACAAGCAAACAACCTGAAAGTGTCCTGCATGCACAGGAGAGGGCGCAATAGCGTCAGCGCTCTCAGTGTTCTGCCAACCACCATCAAAGGAAGATGTGCTCAGTGTTTGTGGAAGTAAACATGGAGGCTAATGGTGAAGCATAGCTTCCATATTTCAGGTTGTTGTCCGACCGGAGCAGCATGTCAACAATTTAATCCTCATTATAGTCTGGTTGTTGCTTTTCTTCCTGCTTGCGTGTATCAGGATGCAGAATAGTGACATATGTCAAATATCAGTGATGTTCAGTTCGGATGAATGCGACCTGAACTTTAGGTCGCATTTTGAATCGGATACATTTTGGATACCCTCGTGGCCTGGGTCACATTCGAAAACAATCTGACCTGTTCTGTTCAGACTGTCATGAAAAGATCAAATACAGGTCCCATTACGTCAAAAACATTAGAATTGGGTCTCTTCAGCCTGCAGTGTGAACGCAGCCTTAGTTAATTTAGTTAGTGTAAAGCTGAAATCTTTTTTTTTTCTTTGCTGAAAAGCAGGTACGGAAGCAGCCGAACAATACGGAATGAATAAGTGTCCATCGTCTCTGGAGAGACTGCCTCTGATGGTTCAGCAGGAATTTTGAGACAAGACTCATCTCAATGCAAACACAAGCAGGGCTGGAAGTCAGGCTTAGTCCACAGTGGTTGGGGAAGGTTGGGCCTTGCAGTGTTAAAAGGCCTAAAGATTAGACCCGAGCATCAAGCACCAGCTGTTTTATGGCAGCAGAGTAACACTTTATCAAATTTTCCATGTCAACTTGCAAATAATTACATTTGAATTTTTATTTTTTGTATGATTATAGGTGTTGCTTAAAGAACAGGTTTAAAATCTTTGTAGCTCCTCATTACCAGCTGCGTCCTGTGTGGTATCTTGAAATGCTTTTCCACTAGAGCACCTTCAATTGGTCCGTCTTGCCAAATTCATTTTCCATCAGCAGGTCCGGCGTCAGGTTTTTCAGATTTTCACACCTACTTCAAGATTAGAATTCGCAGGACCAGAAGTGACCTGACAGCAACCGCATTCACAGATTGACTTGTGATTCACATCACTGAAGACTCCAAACTTATAATTTAACTGTGGACTGTGGTTAAACGTGCTGTCTGCTATAAGAGAGCTACTCTGTATAGAGGAGTGTAATTATGAGTTTAATCACACTCAGCGCCAGGAACACTTTACGTTTTGGAGCAGAATGACTGATTTAGCAGAGTAGCAGCTCGTCTCTCTGAAGAACTGACAGAAAGCTGACCCCAACTGAACCATTTATCTTTTTATTACTGTCAGAGCTGCAGTTTAGTGGAGACAGTGTGAAACACCTGAACTAAATAATATTAGCTTGTGATGTGAATTTTATTAGGCCCAAGCAGCAAACGCTACAAAGTCCTATTGTTTTTATACTGTTTATTATTTTTCCTTCTAATTAAAAAACAAAACAAAAAAAGTTCAGATGGGGATATTTGTTTACGTCTTTTGACCTAAATCTAAAAGCTTGCACATTTGGAAAAAAATAAAATACCAGAATGTCATTATATTTATATGTATAGCAAAATAATCAGCAGTCTTTATCATTATGTTTGGGCTCCTAATTAATTCCTATAAGACAAAATGAAATGTCTGGGTTCATTTGAATCCATCAGAACCAGAACCTGAAGGTTCTCCATTGCTGAGTGCTGCTGCAAACATCAGCAGAGAGTTGAGCGCAGCTGCTGCCGCTCACGTCCCACCGACGGTAGTGAGGACCAGAGAATAATGGAAAAGCTCACTACCTGCAGTAGAACCGAACCGAGCCGAGCCGAGCCGAACCGAGCCGCACATCAACTAGTTAGAGAGCCACTTGCTACTCAAAGAGCAACTTTAGTTTGTTTCCAAAGCCTGGTCCTTACGGCTCAATGTTTCACGTGATTGCAGTTCAGCAAAAGATTATTAATCAGTCTTCAATTGAAATGATGTGTTCCAAAGCAGGAAAATATATATAATGTACAGTCCAGGTTGCCTTGAAGAGCAGAGTTTGAAAAACAACTCTTAAAAAGCCAAGCTTGCATGAATCCTGATCAGACGTTTCAAGTCATTTGTGGAAATAGCTGCAATGACTCGGGTTTAGTTTATCCTGTAAAATTGCATTTCACTGACACATGCTCTATTTTTCATGACAGATTTCACAAGTGTCACAAACCACTTTGAGCACCTGTATAAAGTGAGCTTTGACAACGTGTCAGTGTATCTGCAGAAAAAGCAGCAGCGGATTGAAGAGCATCAGCTGAAGAGGACAAAAGCTCAGAAAGTAAAATGCAACAAGAAGTCAAAGAAGAAACCTGATGAAGTTTTGAGTCAGCCTTCTACTGAAGTCAAGAGTAAAGAGAATCATTCAGGTTTTGTACTTTGAATGTGTGCACCTTGCCAGTTTGATTCAGTGGTTTATTTTTACTATTTAACATTAAACAAAATTAAACCTTTTTTCTGTTTGGCATAGTCATTGAAAGAAACCTGTTAGCCAGTATTAGCCACACACATTCTGTTTAATCATTATTGTATGTTTGGTGCATTTAATTGCATTTCATTTCACTCTGGGAATAATAAAGGATATTTTATTTTAAACATTTCTATGTCAAACCTCGATTCTATAATGATGCCACACTCTAAAACTTAAAAGTTCATTGGAACCAAACCAGAGTTCAGGTAAACGAGGTTTGTAGGTGAACCAGAATAAGCTTAGCATTCACACCTCCCCAAAAGAACCAGACATTCTAGTCAAATGATTTAGAACAAAATACGTTCAGGATGGAAACAAAAAAGACTCAGGTCATGCAAGATTTGGATGACAGCAGAAATGTCCTCTGACAGGAAGTCCAGGAATTTTTCAATGTCAGGTCCCAGCAGAAAACGGTCTTGGACTTGGTTGAGGGGGTTATGTCTTTGAAACTCCAGAAGACCAAGAAGGATAAGTGGATAACACCCGTGGATAACGTGGTGTTGGAATTGGAGCAGTTCATGGGGAAGAAGAACGTGTTCATCACCGGTCTGCTCGTTAAAACTCGCTCGTACTCTTATAGCGGAGTTTTACGAGCCCACAGATGATCATTTATGGAATTCCATCGAGCAACAGGTGGCTTCTTTTCTATTAGCCAGAGAAATAGAGGTTGGCAGTAGAACCCTGTCATCCTCTTGGACGGAACAGCAGTAACATACCAGCTATCTATCACTATGAGGTTTATCAGCAGAAAATGGAAACTTGTTAATGTAAGGGAAGAAGTTGAGAGGTTCAGATGTTTCATGAACCGCTGGTCCTTTTTGTCTGTGTTCCATTTGGTCAGAACTCGGACAAAATGAACATCGCTAGGAAAGCTTGATTCCTGAAGAAACAAGAAGATCCAGGCTTCATGGACTGGAGGAGGCAACGGGTTTTAGTCAGAGACATGAAGGAGCTGGAGAGATTTAACTGATTACTAGCCCTACTGGAGGTGAAATAGTATGAACTCTTTACTGTCTGAATGACTTTTCACACTAATATTTCATCAGCAGCACTGATAATCTTTTACGATGGTGAACTATGATGAATAGAATTGAAATTACTTAAGACAGACATCGTACAAATGTCAGGAAAGAGGATGAAATTGATCTGGTTAACAACTTCAATTATCACACTCAACAACTGCCACTATTACTCAGAGGATCAGTACAATGTGACATTTTAACCCTAACTTCAACAAAATCAAGTATCTGACCCAGATCAAACATTTAGTGTTACTGCCATCTCTGAAATGTGGATATGTACCAAAAGAGAGCTGACTTTGATCTAGACAGATATAGTTGAACTGTATAAATCGAGATGAGAAGGCTGGTGGAGGGGCAGCCATGTAGAATGGTGGAAAAAATGAGTGATGAATGATACTGTATAATGGATAACAGTAGAACTTTACATGGAAAAGAAAAAAATCTAATTATAAGTTATATAAGGAGAGAGATTAATTAAATTTAATTAGTAATGCAGCTTTAACTTAAAAGGTAGAATTTGTTTGTGGGGATTTTAATATTGATTTGCTAAACCCAAATAATCACAAACCCTTAGAGAAAGAAGCTCAGTCATCCAGGAGGGACTCAGAGTAGAGCCGCTGCTCCTCCACATCGAGAGGAGCCAGTTGAGGCTCGGCCATCTGGTCAGGATGCCTCCTGGACGCCTCCCTGGTGAGATGTTTCGGACGCGTCCCACCGGGAGGAAGCGCCGGGGAAGACCCAGGACACGCTGGAGGGACTATGTCTCCCGGCTGGCCTGGGAACGCCTCTGGATTCCCCCGGAGGAGCTGGAGGAAGTGGCTGGGGAGAGGGAAGTCTGGACCTCCCCAAACGACCCGACCCCGGATAAGTGGAAGAAAATGAATGGATGGATGGATGGACAGTACTTTTTAGTATAAATCCAACTGTTATGTGTAGGCTGTGAGATTTTAGATGATTGGTTAAAAACAAAAACTGCTTCATGAAGACCAAAAAACAACAACAGACAGGTTGTTGTCTTAACCCTTTTCAGGTAGAAGAAAAGCTATGGACAAGTTCAGAACAAGGAAGATCATTAAACAATATTGAAAGTTTTTGAGCGTCTCACTTAGCATTAATCAGTGGAGCAGTGAGAGGTCATTCTTGAGAAGTTGCAAAAATCCACAGCTCAGATGGATACTTTGACATCCATACTGTAGTACATGGTGGTGGCTGCACAGTGATGAAAACTGCTGGGAAGATAGATGACACTATGACAGGAAAATACTGGAAGAAAGATTGGAACAGTTGTTTAAGGACACTGACGTTAAAGTTACAACCAGTTGCAAAAAATGCTTTACATCGAACAACATGTTGCAACAAAAGGTGTTTCTGCATTGTATTGACTCAGTGGGTATTAATTTTACCCACTGTCTGCTAAGGACCTTGAAGTGCTCGCAAATCACTGAAATCTTTAAATACTTGAGATGCCTTTAAAAACTAACTTCTAATTTTAATTGCACAACCAGCAAATGCACCATAATGTAAAATACAGCAACAAAACTTAGTTGCGTTTAGGAGAGGAAAACAACGTTGATCAGGTTATTGTTGTATTTATATGGAAGAGCAGAGTGGCCGAAGTCGAGGCAAATTCTGCCCAAGTGACTTTTATGTTTGCTATACAATCTGTGTCATCTTACTTTATTTGAAAACTTGTTCACATCTGGTTGAACTTTCTGTTACATTATCAATACAAAATTCCAATATATTTGCTTGAAAATATTATTTTTTGTTTGTTTTCCAAAAACATTCTAATATTACGTGGCCCTCTAGGGGACATGAGGATTTTTTTTTCTTTTGCGTTCCCTGGCAATACCATACTGATCAGTTATGCTGCATAACTGAATACTGCAAGCCTTTTTTTACAGTGGCTGCTGTACTTTCTTCTTTAATACAAGGTTATGTGAGGTTTTTCCTTAAATATTAATACCTCTTTGTGAAATATCTATTGCTGGGTAATCAGTCGTCTTACAGTTTTGATTGTGTCTCTGTTTGTAGTCTGAATGGTTTAAAGGGCCATTTTCATGTTTAGTTCCATCTCAACCTTAACAGACAAAAACATGCAGTGAATAAATCGATTTTAATGAGTTTTTTGCACCAAACTTCATAATAATAAACACATTTTTTATTATAAGACACAGCAAACTAATGGTGGTATTTATTTTCTGCATGTTTAAGATGGAACAGCACTGAAAAGCTTGTCAAACCATTCAGACTACAAACACAACAGAGACACAATTAAAACTGTCAGATGACTTTCCTACGATAATAACTCAGAAATAGTCCAAATTAGAATGTTTGTTTATTTCTTTTCTATTTACGGAACGCTTCTGTTTATATCTTAGGCTTGTGGCGCTTTTCTATCGTAAAGAAAAAGATATAAAACTTCAGATATTTCACAAAGAGGTATTAACATTCATGGAAAAACCTCATAAAATAGAAAGTACGGCAGCCACCGTAAGAAAGGCTGACAGTATTCAGTTATGCCACATAAACTGATCAGTACAGTATTGCCAGGGAACGCAAAAGAAAAATTTCCCATGGGACATTGGGAATTTAGATTAGATTAACTAAATGTAAATGACTACTTCTTTTACATGATCTTTGTTTCTACTTTCCTGGTTTAATACAAATCATTTCAAACCTAAATCTGTCAATGGTGTCTATAACTACGGTTTTGACAGTAAACCCGACATTTATTAAGATTATGATAGACACAGGTGAGGTCTTCACACCTTCAGGTGTCTGAAGGTAACTGATGATGTAATGGGCATAATTTATCAAGTAAGGGTGGTGGGTGGTAATCCATATAGATGTTTTCTAGCAATGTAGTTTTCATTCCAATTTGCCATGTGTTTATCACATCATCTCTCAATGAAGTTCACTGGAGTTTTTGATGCAAATGTACAGAATAAAAGCTACGTGCATTTCTACACTGGAAACTCCAGTGTTGTTCCTGTAGACTGACAAAGGTTATCAATTCCTCCAGTACCACAGATATCACTGTCATAATTGAAACATTTGGGTACCACTGGTAGCAGTAAAGTTTTAACAAGCTAATAAGCAGAAGACCTCGCCTGCTGCCAGGGTTTGAAGATTATGAAGAAGTATTTAAAATGAAAACATGGAGTCAAAACAACCACATACCCCAATTGATAAAATAGCACATTTCTGCCCTGGATTTATTAAGTTTGAAATGTATTTCAATGAATTTATTTTATGAGAAAATAATTTTATTCATCTAATTTCCCATTTTTCTCTTTTTGAGACATTAATTTCAGTGTTGTGGAAGTTAGATCTGTTGCATGGATTTTTTGCTTGTTCAGATTTTTTTCTGTGCATGTTTACATGTATATGATAAAGAAATGCTTATTAAACATATGAATTGTACATTAACCCATTCAGACACTGAATATAAATCAAACCAGAATGAGAGCAATTAGGTAAACCAGTAGACCGTTAATGGAAGTTGGAACTTGAAGCTGGGAATGACGTCATGTCCGAGTTCCAGTTAGCATAGTCAAAATGGGGATCCCCAATTAGCCATTGTTCATAAAGAAATGACTTTCCGCATGCACACCAACATCTTTTAATTTGTTCATATGAGAGTTGAAGCTGTTACATGTAACATTGACTCTTGCAAGAGTTTCTCACAATATTTAAATGTTCCCACCACAACTATTATTCATGGAGCTGCCTTATTGGATCTTGAAGTCGGAGTTTGAAAAATTCCCTGACTTTTAGCGTGAGACTGTCTGAATTTGGAGGAATGTTACAATTTAATTTTCTGGCTCAGAAAACAGAATTTTTCTATTCATACTACAAATGCAACACAATATTATTGTCAAAACAAGCAACTTGTTGGACTCAAAAAGTTGGGCCAAAAGTCAAAAAGTTTAAGAACCAACTGTGTTAAAAATGAACAGTTTGGGTTATTTAAGTGTTTATTTATTAAAGTATAAAACTTTGTCTAACATGTTATTCATTATATATGAACTACATTTATAATATTCGAATTATTAGAACCAATATGTGATTATCTAATTATTGGCGTAACTCGCTACAGGGAATGACTTAAAGAAGCGACAGCGTGACGTCACGTCTTGATGGAAATGAGTGCCAGTGAAGCCACGCCCTGCCCCGGTGACGTCAGACGAAGCTCGGCAGTTTTCCTCTTGAAGCCTCCGGGCTGAAGCGGCGGAGACTCGCATCCAACGCGACCAGGAGCGACTGGAGGATCGAGACGCGCGGCTGTTTGCGTCGAAATCAAACCCAGAATTCCTGGCAGGCAGGTAAGACTTCAGCCTGTGGAATTTCTCATCTTCCTCCATGTTTGTTGGAGCAGAATGTTCGGCAACTTTTCACTGCATCGCGAGAAGGGAAGGAAACGGAGCGAACCCATATTTCTTGGCTTTCTCCAATCTTTTTAAAGCCTCGTTCTGCTCGCACTTTCACACAGAAAGAAGCTCGACGTGGCGCGTTTTCCTCGCTGGATCCTCTGGATCGTAACGCTGGAAAACTACAGTTTTACTCGAAAGCAATGATTCTTTAATCCATCCTGAATTTCCAATGCGCCTCTGAAGCATTTGCGATAAGCAGCAATAAACAGAAGTAGGTGTCACAACCTGATGGTGTCTGGACTAAAGGTCTGTGGGGGGGTGCAAGGTTACCATGGCATCTAGAGAAACACAAGACTAATTTAAATTGATTCTACGTCACCACCATCATCATCACCATCATCATCATCATATCCGCTGTTCTTTGCAGCATCTACAACCCACAAAAAGCTCCTGATAATCTTCTGCATCTTGTAGGATTTAGTCCAACATGTGGATCTCCTGGAGTGATTTTGGTTTTACATTCTTGGATGCAAAATAATAGTTTTTTTACTTAGTATATTTTTTTCCTCAGTAAACAAAATTCTTCTTTACATTAAAATGCCAGTTGCTTTAAGATTAAGAAAGTAATTAAGAATCACAACAATAACTTAAATTCTTGAACACTTCAGAAAACCTCTAAAAACGCATAAAACTGCCCATTTGAAACAAGTTCATGTCGAATGTCTTCAGCTCTTAATTGGCACCAGAAAGGAAAATAAATGGCAGGTTTGGATTGGCTCTTTTTGAAATATCAGTGAACACATTTTCCAGCTGCATTTTCTTTAAAATATTTGAAAAACACTCCAGTAAAAATCTAGAAATAGGAAACTTTCTGAATTGTGAATAGACAGGAGTCTACCAAAAGTATATTTGGTAAAAAAAAAAACAACAAAACAAACAATAATTAGTTTTTTCATTAATACTAGATGACCACAAATGAATTGCCTAGAGACTTGAATTGACTAGTTAACCCTTGATTAGCCTTGATTGGTGATTGACAGATCAAATATTGACCACTCAGAATTATTTTATTATTTATTGAAACTGACCATTTTTGTCTACAACTGACAGCATATAATTTGATGCATTTTTCTAGTAATATTTTAATAACTGAAACACTGTGCAACCTTACACTAAGTTATACTGTTACTGCAAAATCAGCATTCATAATATGGCAAGGGACTGTTTAGAATAAAGTCATTGTTGACTGTTATAATCTTGGTGTTCACTTGCTGCAAGCCATTTTAATATTACATGCAAATAAGGAAACAAAAGATACTTCTTGTGTTTGGCTGTGAGATCTGCAGTGCAGCTTTTTTTCTCTCATGCTTTCAACCTCCTGCTCAAAAAACATCTTTGTCCAATCTTATATTTTCACCTTCCTAAAATAATGGCCAGACTGATTTTGGCAAAAAGTAATAATGTGGATATAAATCCATAATAAGACTGTTGTTTGAATATAAAAGAAAACTTTCCTGATAAAAAAAAAAACCTCAACACCAAAATATATAAGCTGTGCACATTCCCTTTTGATCAGTTGTCCCACATCCGCAACCCCCCACTTCCTGTTTGCATGGCTTTACAAACAAGCCATGCAAACAGATATTCCTTTTTCCCTAAATCTGATACGGGACACATGTAACTCTTAATTACACTGATTTATTTAAATGTTCAAAATTTAGCAGATATGACTGGCTGCAGCGAACCAGATTCTGTAGCTATTGCCAGCTTCTCTCTTGTCTGAGTGGTCATCTTTTCCTGTGCCTAAAATAATCTGGATTCTGACTGACAAAACGGGCAGAAAATGTTTGTCCTGTTTCATATCCATACACTTATGTCTATTATAGTGGACATTTTGTTGAATCTTATTTTTTTATTCCTACTTGTACCATACCATACCAACTTATTTATAAGCCTTTAAAACAACCACAGCTGATACAAAGTGCTGCACATAAAATAGATAAAAACAAATAAAAACTCTTACAGTTTAAAACAAACAATGTGAAACTAGATCTCGCTGGAGTTGAAAGCCAAGTAAAATATGGGTTTTTAAGACGAGCTTTAAAAGTGTACAGAGAAGGAGCCTCTCTGACCTGCAAAGGAAGGTCATTCCATAGCTTAGGACCCACGACAGAGAAAGCTCTGTCCCCTCTGAGCTTCCTCTAGATCTCGGTCCCTCCAAGAGCAACTGTAGTTACAGTACTACAGTAGTCTTTAGAGCAGAGGTCACCAACATGGGGCCGCGGGCATCCGGTCGCCCGCTGGGACCTTGTCAGTTCGCCCGCGGAGCTACTTCTAAAATAGCCATTATCATCAGGGAGCACGACCAAAACATGATTTAATTAAATGTTTTTACATTGAAGTAATAAAGTTTGTTTATATTTAGAGTTTCAAAAGAGCGAAATGATAAAAACAAATAAGTTGCTTTATGTATAAAATTCTTTCCTGCTGTTAAAGTTCAGAACTGCGCAGGCGCCTGCAGGAAACTATCGGAGGGCAGCAGCGCCTGCAGCTGCGCTCTGTGTACCTTGACATTTTCCTTTAAGTAAAGAAAGAAAGAATACTTCTGGAATTTTATTATTAACCTATTTACTATTAACATTGTGAAGAATAATAAATAAATTGTGCAAAACATCTTATTCGTAGCGTACTCTATCTGAGTCTGAGGGTGAGCACCAAAGCCCAAATCTTTTTGTTAGATTTACTTTTTGTTTATTTGGCAGCTTGGTGCTTTTTCTGTAAATTAATGACAAGAGTTTGAAACCTCCCACAGTTCTAAGAGGTTTGTTTGGATCCAGTGGAGCTTTTTTACCGTGTTCGGTTTCTGGCGGGTCGTCAGTTCATGAGCTTTGATGTTTCCCGAACTAGAGAGCTGATGGGTCACCCTGACGGCTGATACTGATGCTAGACTGTGGGTTAACCATTTAATCTAGTCAAAGTAGAGTAGAAATAAAGCAAACAGCTTCACCTTCTCGTTCTCTGGACGTCTAACACCACCTTCACTGGGAACCAACACCCTTCACCTGGGAACCAACACCTTCACCTGGGAACCAACACCTTCACCTGGAATCAACACCTTCACCTGGGAACCAACACCTTCACCTGGGAATCAACACCTTCACCTGGAATCAACACCTTCACCTGGGAATCAACACCTTCACCTGGGAATCAACACCTTCACCTGGGAACCAACACCTTCACCTGGGAATCAACACCTTCACCTGGGAACCAACACCTTCACCTGGGAATCAACACCTTCACCTGGGAATCAACACCTTCAGCTGGGAACCAACACCTTCACCTGGGAATCAACACCTTCACCTGGGAATCAACACCTTCACCTGGGAACCAACACCTTCACCTGGGAATCAACACCTTCACCTGGAATCAACACCTTCACCTGGGAATCAACACCTTCACCTGGGAACCAACACCTTCACCTGGGAATCAACACCTTCACCTGGGAACCAACACCTTCACCTGGGAACCAACACCTTCACCTGGGAAACCAACACCTTCACCTGGGAACCAACACCTTCACCTGGGAACCAACACCTTCACCTGGGAACCAACACCTGATCCTGGGAATCAACACCTGATCCTGGGAATCAACACCTGATCCTGGGAATCAACACCTTCACCTGGGAACCAACACCTTCACCTGGGAACCAACACCTTCACCTGGGAACCAACACCTGATCCTGGGAATCAACACCTTCACCTGGGAACCAACACCTTCACCTGGGAACCAACACCTTCACCTGGGAATCAACACCTTCACCTGGGAACCAACACCTTCACCTGGGAACCAACACCTGATCCTGGGAACCAACACCTTCACCTGGGAACCAACACCTTCACTGGGAATCAACACCTTCACCTGGGAATCAACACCTTCACCTGGGAATCAAACCTTCACTGGGAATCAACACCTTCACCTGGGAACCAACACCTTCACCTGGGAACCAACACCTGATCCTGGGAACCAACACCTGATCCTGGGAACCAACACCTTCACCTGGGAATCAACACCTTCACCTGGGAACCAACACCTTCACCTGGGAATCAACACCTTCACTGGGAACCAACACCTGATCCTGGGAACCAACACCTTCACCTGGGAATCAACACCTTCACCTGGGAATCAACACCTTCACCTGGGAATCAACACTGATCCGGGAACCAACACCTGATCCTGGGAACCAACACCTTCACCTGGGAACCAACACCTTCACCTGGGAATCAACACCTTCACCTGGGAATCAAACACCTTCAGCTGGGAATCAACACCTTCACCTGGGAACCAACACCTTCACCTGGGAACCAACACCTTCACCTGGGAACCAACACCTTCACCTGGGAATCAACACCTTCACCTGGGAATCAACACCTTCACCTGGGAACCAACACCTGATCCTGGGAACCAACACCTTCACCTGGGAATCAACACCTTCACCTGGGAATCAACACCTTCAGCTGGGAACCAACACCTTCACCTGGGAATCAACACCTTCACCTGGGAATCAACACCTTCACCTGGGAACCACACCTTCACCTGGGAATCAACACCTTCACCTGGGAACCAAACACCTTCACCTGGGAATCAACACCTTCACCTGGGAATCAACACCTTCACCTGGGAATCAACACCTTCACCTGGGAATCAACACCTTCACCTGGGAACCAACACCTTCACCTGGGAATCAACCTTCACCTGGGAACCAACACCTTCACCTGGGAATCAACACTTCACCTGGGAATCAACACTTCAGCTGGGAACCAACACCTTCACCTGGGAATCAACACCTTCACCTGGGAATCAACACCTTCACCTGGGAACCAACACCTTCACCTGGGAATCACACCAATCAACACCTTCACCTGGGAATCAACACCTTCACCTGGGAATCAAC